AGGATGACTGGGGTGGAGGAACAGTCACTTACTACCTACAAAGGAGGGACCACCAGAGGATGACTGGGGTGGAGGAACAGTCACTTACTACCTAAAGAGGAGGGACCACCAGAGGATGACTGGGGTGGAGGAACAGTCACTTACTACCTAAAGAGGAGGGACCACCAGAGGATGACTGGGGTGGAGGAACAGCCACTTCCTACCTAAAGAGGAGGGACCACCAGAGGATGACTGCTCTGAAGGAACAAAAAGGAGGGACTACCAGAGGACGACTGCCCTCAATGGACCGTAGGTGACCCTATTTTCTGTAGTGTTCCATCGTTCCCTTAATAAATCTCACCCCTCAAGGGGTACTGGCCTGCACCCTAGTCTCCAGAGTGTCCTTGGCCCAAATACTGTGGTATTAAATCAATGATATTTGAGGGTGTGGCATCACTAAACTAGAGTGAACACACATCATAGTCATGGACAGCATTTAAAAAATGAGATTTCATCACATTTCCTGTGATGAAGGACCCCAGCAAGGTCCACGACTCTCATATCAGCACAATGACCCAAAGCCTCAGGTCCCCACCTCTCAGAGCTAATGAGCTCTACTTGGCCACATTAATGTATCATCATCCAGGTCATCGTCTCCGGGGAGGGGCAGGGTCCTGCTAGCGTCAGCCTTACTCAAATTCAAACAGAAACCATCATGAGGCTACAAATTTTGCAACCAAATGTATCAGACTGTCAGAATGCTGCAGTGCAAATGATTACATTTAGGTTTCCATTACCACAAAACTGAAGGCCTCAGAATCCACCTTCCCCGATGATCCGGGAGCTAAGCAGCATGAACAGTGTGCACTCCTGGCTATAAAGAGCATTTCATCCCACTTACACAGGGTATAAAGCTCAGACAGGGAACATCAACCCTAACATGCCCCATTTTCGTGGTGCAGGAAAAAATTTGGAGTAACACTTTAACAGTCACCACTCTCCTCAGCTCACCACCAAGAGATGAAATTAATCCAGGAGTCTTGATAAATACATTTCAACCAAACTTCACTCCTTCTCAGTACTTAGCAAGTATGGGGAATGCTACAGGGTGTGTGTTCTCACAATGGAAATACAGTATGATGTTTGAAAAAACTAAGGATGAATTACAAATTGAGCCAGGAAAAAACCACTAGCTATTCAGGAGTGATAAATCCAGGCTATTATCCGATTTATATTAACAGACATGCGACACAGTCAACTGCTAGTTACCTTGACAACAGGACAAAAAGCGGGGAATGTGGTTTTGCCCTTGTAAACGCATTTAATTTTTTAAGTGAGTGAATCCATCTATATTTATACCTACAAATTTCGGAGTATCACATCGCAGATTCAACAAAACCCTTTAAAACAGTAATAAGATTCATAACAGCCTGTTTGCAGGCCCAGGTGGTCAGACCATACCAAATGCTTTCCTGCAAAACTTCCCTTCAGAAGGTTTTTAACATTCATGCATGTATCTTCAAAGCTAAAAGGAAGGTTTCAGGCATTTGAAAGTGCAGCTAATTTGACGGAGCCAGTTGAGATATATTTTAAGTATGTCGGCTGCACATGGACCAAGACACTTTCTACATAACTAGACAGCAACTCTCTCTTTAGGTTAAAACCAAGTCCAACTCTTCAGAGAACAGGCACGGCTCTTACATCAGACTTGCTGCTGTAAGCTACGCAGCAAAATTAAATCCATATAAAACTAGATTAAAGGGTAAAACATTAGGGACACATCAGAAAATATACACAAAAACTCAAACAGCCACGTAATCTACCATCAGTAACTGGTAGGACCAAAAAGAAAATGAACCACTGCGTAATATATGGTTGCAAAAAAATTTAAAAGAGAACATTACAGAACTAGATTTGCTCATGTACTTGGAAACCCTGCCACCTAGTGCTGACAGAGCATACAGCAACAGAAAAGAAATTCACAGCAACACAAATACTCCCACACGAAGAATGCGTCACCTGAGCAGGATGGAAAGGGCCGGGTGAAGGAGGAGAGCAACGTTATAGATGTACGGGAAGCATGGCTGCCACAACTGGCAGGCTCTCTAGCACACAAAAAAAAGTGATAGCAGCACATCCAAATGACTAAAGGTGTTACCTGCAGGAGAGTGTCACTTTGAGGGTACAAGGCAGAAAAGGTAGGGGTGGTGATCTCCTCTGCTCTCAGAGCCGACGTTCCGTCATAGACACATTCCAGGGACTCAACCTACAAAGGAAGCATGGAACTAAACTAAACGAGGGCAAACATACCATACAAGACTGAAGATAAGTGAGAGGCAGCATGGAGGACACTGGACAAACACTCACAATGGGCATCCACTGCAATAAAACAAAGCATGAATAAAATCAATAAACAGCATAACCGGCAAGCTGCTGATAATGAAGACTGCTGCTATAGTGAATGAAGGGTGGTCATGTGACAGCTTCAGGCCAAACACTTAAACTGAAGGATGACGGTGTGCAACAGCAAGTCTGGTCTGACCAAGTGGAATGCCTGAAGACACAGAGTGAGATGGATGGAGGGAAGGAATTCAGGGGCAGAGAGGGTACCCAGCGACTCGGCTCGCACAAGTGTCCAGACATTCAGCTCGCACAAATGTCAGGAGAGACTCAGGCCACACGAGTGTCAGGAGAGACTCAGCTCACATGAGTGTCAGGAGAGACTCAGGCTACACGAGTGTCAGGAGAGACTCAGGCCACACGAGTGTCAGGAGAGACTCAGGCCACACGAGTGTCAGGAGAGACTCAGGCCACATGAATGTCAGGAGAGA